CCCGGGCTCGGCGGGCGAGGTGTTGCCCGTAGCTTTGATCCTTCCCCCGCGACCCGCGCCCTTCCTGGCGTGGCTCCGGTGTGTCAGTGCCGCCTTTTCCTCACCTGCCGGCTGTGCTCGGCAGGCTTTCTGACCAGAAACTTTCTTTTCGTCTCTTTCTTTCCTCTGTATTTTTAAGTAGTGCTTGAGCCTCGAGAGCCAAAATTCACCTGTGAAGTCGAAGATAATACATTATCAACCTAAGAATTACCTTTTCCCGTTTTAATGTTCAGAGCTTGGTCCTTAAACATCTTCAGGTTGTGCTGTCATTCACAGAGCAGCCAAAATGTAGTGGATATTGAACTTGCGTTTGCAGGTACTCCGTAATTTGAGCAGTGACTGTAACATAGCCATGAAACTTGTATTTCTGTAGCAGCTGATTTATTGGTTAGCTGTTTGGAACCACTGGATTTCGTTTTGGGGCTGTTTTTTTTTTTTTCCCCCCTCCATAAGCAAAATTGCCAAGGAAATACCCACTATATGAACCTCTGGAGTACAACTGATTGTTGAAGAGAACCTGAGATTTTTCTCTTTTAGATGTTTAGCCTGTGCAAGGCCAGAGCTGGGTAAAGCTGTGATGGTGATGCATTGATACATTACTGGGGAATGACAGGTTAGGTTAGGTTTCTCTGTGAAAGTCAAAAGGGGATGAGCAAGGGAAATTCAGTGATTGTTAGATGTGAGCAGGTGGCCTGGAAAGTACAGAAGGCGGAGGTTTTGGGGAAGAGTGTGCCCCAGTGCTTCATACAGGTCTGGAATAAGTACCCCGGTTTCTCTTTCCTTCACATTCCTGCCAATCCTTGCATCAGTGTTGCGGCTGGCCACTTGTCCTGCTTTTGCCTTCCCATGCTTTCTTTCTCAGGTGTTGGGAATGAAAGTCCTCTTCCTGATAGAATTCATGAGGAAGCTGATGTGTGTGAATCCTGGCAAAGAAAGGCTGAGTGAGAGGCTCAGTGCTAGGAGAAAGAGGAAGGTTTACTGGGGGGTGATGGAGGAAGATCTGCTGCTGTATGCTGCTAGATTCCATGTGTTTTCGTTTTAGGTGTTTTAGATATGTTCCTCTTGTGCTCTCTGGCAGTAAAGCAGTTGTGCCAATGGGAGAAGCATAAGCTTGAAAGCTTACCTAGCAAGTGGTCGCGGTCCCAATGCGTTCCTAACTTCCCAGATTTCCAAATAAGCAACAGACTAGCTCTTTCCTTTGCATGTGAGACTACTGCACTCAAAACATGTAAGCTGCTGCAGAATGAAATGAATTGTCTGTTATATGGTGTTGGCCTGTTGAGAGTGATTTGAACTGTTGATCCTACCTATTATCCAGTCGCAGGTAGGACAAAGTTGTGAATGAATTGTGAAGTATAGCATCTGTGCAGAAGTCTGTGTCAAGTCTGAAAAAATTTCAAAACTAAAAATATTCCAATATTCTGTTACTTAAGTATGCTGTTCAAATTTGATTTTGAGGTGTTAATATTTCAATAGTTGTTTTTAAAAGTTCATAAGGTTAAGGTGTTTGCTAGCTAGCGAGGGAGATCACAAAATGCAGAGTCAGAAGGCAGTGGCTACTTCCCTGTTCCCCAAAATAATTCTTTGTACAGCCAAATATAGTACAAACCAGTGGTTTATATGTGTTCGAAAGGATTGTTTTATCAACTTCTGCACATATTCATATGCAGTGGAAGTTGGATTAGTCTTGATAGAAAATAAAGTAAGAGTCACTGGTTCTTGTTTGTGGAGAGGAAGAGGACAGGTGTATTTATGAAGTCTATTCAGTGTTAGTGAAAATCACTGATTTTCTTGCATTAAACAAAAAAATAGTGGAAAGAACTAGTGATTTGTTTGCTTGTTTGTTTGTTTGTTTGTTTTTCCTTGCCACATTTGAGGTTGGTAGTTGAGGCAATTGATTTGTTGAGCGGCAAACTTTACTGTTACCCTTGAAAAGAATTTGCACTTTCTTAGAAAAGCTAAACCATTGAAAAAAACTACCTTGGCACAAGAAGCTGTCCTGGAACAGTAGACATAAAAATGGAAAGCTTAGAGAGAGAAGTCGCAGCAACAGAAAAAGTCTTGTGGCATTGACCATCTGTAGGAATTATTACTCAGTCATATGGTCATGTTTGAGCAGTAGTTAGTATTTATAACCTTCAGTCCTGAAACTGTACCTATCCAGTGGAGTCTTGTCCTGTCTGAAGTAATGGTCCATGCAGATCCCTTTACATTTCTAACCTTTGCACCCCCTCAGATACTGTGCTAATCAAGAAACTAGCTGCATCTTTTTTGGTTAGCAGAAATATTATTAAGTCCTTCTTAAACAGCATTAGAATTAGCCAGCATGTTTCTTAGATGAATGTCTGGAGTTACCGGTTATTTTTACAATTTCAGGATTTTTGTGTGAAACAAACTCAGTAAAAAAAATGAAGAAAGGTGGTTTCAGTTTATTCCAGGATACATGAAACTTGCAAAAGAGGCAATGAAGTTTTTTAGTCCTCGGTGAAACTGTCTGTATAAACAAGATGCTTTTTTTTGGCTGGCTTTCTCTCAAGTCCCATAATGATTCTTGGGAAACGGTTCATTAGATGGGAGAACAGAGCTGTCTTAATTGCATACCTGGGATGGCCAGTCTTCTCCATTATGCCAGAGGAGCTGGCTGTTCTTAAAAACTGGTTTAACCTCCCACATTGCTTGCTTCACATTCATATAGAAGTACTTGAACTGGTTTGTCTGTGTTTTAAGTAGAGCAGATAAGGCTTTCCACAAGTCTGAGAACCTGTTCAGCCTAAACTGAATGTTTGCTCCGATGGATGTAGGGTGAGATGAAACTGCTCCTCCCTCTGCCAACTCATGATTTTAATGAATGAGAATATCCCTCAAGCCTTTTACCTGGCATGCCTGGGATTCCTATTCTGGTATCTTTAAGCTGGAGCAAACTGCTTACCTGTGAATATGCTTTGTTTTATTCTTTAGTATTTCACCAACACCCCCATTTTTGGTGTTATGCTCTAGGTTGGCGTGTAATTCTCAGGTGTTTTTGCCTCTTCGACAGCATTGTCAGGTGGGTTCCTGAATCATTTTTGTTCAGGATTTTAAGTCTGGGAGAGCTTTTGCTTCCTACCACTTTAGCAGGTGACCATGACGTTATTTTGAGGCAGCCAGGGTACTGGCAACTCGAGCAAAACTGAGCGAAGGACTGGAGCCCAACTACTGACATCTCAAAGTTGATGTTTATACTTTAGCAGTGTTTGCAGCCTACTGTAATTGCAGAACTATTACTCTACCAAAAATCTCCCAGAAGCCTCTTCTGAGACTATTCTAGGCACTGTGGTATAGTTATCCAAGCTGCACTGCAGCCAAAGCAGTTTAGAAAAATGTGGCTGTGAGGTAAACCTGCAATGATACTAAAATTGTTTCAGCATATCTAATACAGATTCACAACATCTTTTCTGTTTAAAACTTATGACTGGTCCTCGTATGAACATGCAGGGTTTGTTTTTTGGTTTGGGTTTTGTTTGGTTTTTTTTTTTGCTTTGTGTGTAGTGTCAGGAGTGCTTTTAACTCAGATACATCACTGAGTCATTTCTTAAAACATGGAGAGCTGTCAAACGTGCATGTGGCAGTTACACT